AAAAAAGCAGGAGTTTCATTTACAATAAAATTTTGCATTTTCTGAATAAATCTAAGTAATAAGTCAAAACAGGATCCATTGTGGATTGAGTTACGAGAGTTTTTTAAAAGCAGCGATTTGTACTTGGATATTGACAATTTTATTTTTTATTTATTTGTTTGCAATCAGGTAACAAAGGCCCATAAATACATACCTTATAGACTAACATACATAATAATACAATAGAACACTACTGACTAATTATTATTTACACGTATTGACTGCGACGTGTAACGCAACGTGGGTGTCCGATAGCCGGCCTCGGAAACGTCGATACATTACCCCCTTCGGCCTCAAAACTCATCTTTCATGAAGGTGTTCAACTCTTCTCGGTGGTACTGATGATACATCTCCAGAGATAAATATACTTTTCATTTTCTTCCCCTTTGTTAGTAACTGCCTGGGTTGTGGTTGTGGAGCACTGGATCGGTTAGCAGCGGCAACAGCAGCGTAGTCACGTTGAGGGGTCAATATGCTTACGCGTGACCTCTCCGCCGGGGCGGAAGAACGAGGGGCGGGGAACGGGGAAACGCACGTGGTGACATTGGTCGGTGACGTTTGGGCCGACTCAAAACTGCCGATGGAAGCGTTTTGCGCCCCGCGACAAGTATTCACGTTACAGGCCTCGGGTGACCTACGTCTGAGGCCTCCAATTTACAGTGAACTTCAGCAAGGCTCTTCTCTCTTCTTCTTATCTTTATTACAATAAATACAGAATATTTTTTGAAATATACCAAGACGTACGCACAGGTCAGTAGTTGGCCTGTCTATATTTCAGTGCAAACGGGAGTTCATTTTTATAAGAGCTGTATCGCTAATGTGTTACCAATAATATATGGCCCTTATTTCGTCTCTATTACTGGTTATATACTCGATACCTGTATATTTTACTAATTTTATCAATCAATCAATCAGATCATTTGTTTGCTAGTAACATGGTGGTCGAGATAACAAATAGTCGAATAGGTCGAATTAATGTTCTTACAAACATGTTTTTCCCAGAAAATATTCTAGACATGCAAGAAATTGGTCGTCACATAATGTTATTAAATTATACAGATACAGATATGTACATTTAATATAACATTGTTATATATCAGTAATAACAGTCATATGTACTTAATCCTTAATAACACTGTAATATACTTTATCTTTCAACTATTCCTATAATTTTGTTTTAAATAATTTAATAGGCAAGTCTTTAATGTCATTCTCTACTCTGTTATAAATTGTAACACACATAGGCGAACCATTTTGGTTATATTTCTCTATCTTAGGTACTTCAAAAGACAGTAGTCTATAAGGATCTCTATAACTTCGACTTTAAGCCATGGTCACCCTATTCCTCAAACATCTGCAGGCTAACAATACTTGTGATTAACCAAATTAGTTCCCATTACGGCCACACTGTCGCACTGTCGCTGTCATCCGTGTATTGTCATATTGTCACCGACACTTTGACAGCCTGTCACCGACTGCCGAATGCGGGCGATTGGTGATCATTACTCATGATATGAAGACGTCATTTTAATGCTTTTACAGAATAGTGGCCCAATTTTTAATAGTTCCTTTACTGACTTATTCACCATCATCAGGTACCCATTTAAACATTCCACTGTTGGGCACGGGTTTCCTCTCAGGTGAGCGTTTAACCCACAGTCGGCCACGGACCCCATGGGGACCCCACAGATTGGGAGTGAATCACGGCGACTTCTTTGTAATAATAACCATAAGAAAATATCCTATCTCCAGTATTTCATTTAAAATATATACTATGTCGTAAAGAGCTAGAATACAAAAATAGTGTTACCATCGAAAAAAAAGTTTTCCTCCGGTTTTGCAAATCCAAATTCCCAACAAGGACTTATGGAAAAGACGTTTAGTATACTAGTTTCAAAATTGGATAAGTTTCTGATCAACCAAACATTGTTTAAACTTAGGGCGTTTAGTACTGAAAATGCGTGGTGGCTCGAATTGTGTCCGGGAGTGTACTGTTTCCCCACCTTGAGGCGTAGACGTGGGACATCCTGTATAGGTATTTATTTATTACACCAAGGTTGCACATGTAAAAGATAAATTTTAATAATGTCATTTTAACAGTAAATCCATAGTGGCGAATCCAAAATTTTATAAACATCTTTATCCACTAGTCAACATATCGTTGTGGATAAATATACATAAGAATGATTAATTTGGACTACCTATTAGCACCTTGCGATCCTTTTAACATACTTACAAACTTATGATTACTTTTCTGCAAAAATTGTATCACCTTTAAATACTTCAGAATAGAAACCAAAATGTACAGAAAATTATTTTATGAACAGCAAAGTTTACCTCCAATTGAATTTACAATCATCCGTCATCGATGGATGTCACATTACTGGTTGTATGGGTATAAATATCTACCAACATACATCTGCAGTTATTGAAATGAATACTTAATACACTGCGCTTTAATGTTTATTGGTTCGGGCAGTAATACTAATTTTGCACTTCTGTACAATGGGCAAGAATTGAGGACGTTCTTCAGAAGCTGTTTTTTCGAGATTGTCCAAGAAGATTTTTTAGAATTAAAATATGTTAGGATTAGTTTTGTTTGTGTACTTTTAGGGTTCTGTTACCAAAAATGTATTTATATTGTTATGTACATTGCCCAATTCTAATAGTAAGTTACGTACATTGTAAAGAAGGATTTTGTCAGTTATTTTATTAGAAAGCTCTTTAAGTTTTCAGGTTTCATTTACCACAATTAATGTAGCCAACTTTAACGCTTTAATTACGCATATTAAACGCCAATGTCCTGCCTTGCTATTGCAGTATTTAAGACACAGAAATAACGATTAGGCATGCCGCAGACTTTTTATTTTTTAATATCTGACATCCGAACCAGTCGATGCGGAGTTTTTCCGGATGCTGATGTTTTGCAAATTACGACAAGATTGTCGGGAGTAAGTCTAGTACTAGTGCTAATTAACTAACCAGGGATCGAGAATTCGGCAGCGTGTAATGCAGGCAACGACCTGTTTGTTTTCTAAATAAAAATTATTAAGTTTACATTGACTTGTGAACGTTTTCATTCAAGATAGCCCAGATCTAAACCCTTAAAGGACGGCCCACGAGATTTTTAAAAACTTTACAATTGAAATGTACATCAATAAAAAATGATTTCGATGCTATGTAGGACACTAGTATTTATGTGGTCTGTGATGTAGCCCAACTGTTAAAATAAGAATGAAGAAGGCTGTAAGTAACGCAATAGTATTCATTACAATGTCGTAACTTTCACAATTCGAAATTTTTTGCTAGATTTTACCTTCTTTCACAATCTATAGTCGATAAAACTGTCAACAACAACTACATGACTATTTAAATTTTTATGAAAACTGGCAACCCTGCAAATATCTTTTTACAGCGTCTTTTTAAAAGACAGCCTATGGGAAATCCCCTGTAATCAGCATACATTTATAAATATATAATTGTACCTTATTTTACGCGGGTAGCTTGTGGAAGCAACATATACAAAAGTCGTACATACTGCAATGCTTTTAGCATGCTGTTGCGGCTGGCGAGGTCCTGTGGCGCGTCTGCGATGTTTGCGGAAGCGAGGATAGACTTCTTCTCAGCCATCCATGGACAATGATGTCCATGTAGCCATCATACTACGAAAGAAAACCGCTTCTCTTTTAAAAAAACTACACGTATTCTGAAAATCGTTGCTGAGAAAATGAAGGCACCTCGTTATACTAGATCTACAGTTTCAAATAATGTACTAACACAGTTTATAATTGAACTAAAAACTGCCTCCGTGGCCTAACGCTACCGTACCGGACTGCCACGCAGAGGCCCTCGGGTTCGATTCTCGGGCCGGGAGAAATATTTGTATGGCCTACATTTATTTCTCTCGTGAGTTTGGGTGTAATTTGTGGTTGTCTATGTGTGTGTCCATGGCACCCGCGACACACGGTTTCCCTAGTGCGGGGCTATGTTGAGTGTGTGCTTTATTATTATTATTATTATTGTTGTAATTTAGTAGCAGCAGAGCTCCTTGTGAAAGAGTACGTCCCGGATGTACTGCCACCTTACCTACTTCTGCCGCCAAGCAACAATGTTAGCATTACTGCGCTCCGATTTGGAACGGTGAGGGTTCTGGTGATAACCAGACCAAATTGACTGTCCAGTCCTATTAAGTCAAATAATGATTAAAGTACCCCATAGATATCCACGATACCATGTCCAACCATTATGCACACCTAATCGAAAAACTAAGTTCGGTATGAACTCACCCATATGCAGAATCGGTAACTTATATAATTTACATAGTAAACATTTGGATGTGCACGCAGACAGTTTTGCTTCATTTTAAAAAAATATTAAATCTAAATAGTATTAGAAGTAGGTTGTTATTTTGTCGAGTATTAGATAATAGATAAATATAATAAGTCCAATTGTTAAGGACACTTTTTTATGCATGTGGTGTTTACCTTTAAGTAGCTGTGCATTAAGCTTAAACCCAAAACAGAATGTACCCAATAATAAGTATAAATGTAACAGTTGTTGGTGAACCAATAAATAAATAAAAAAATAAAATATTACGCGCACATGGGACTTGTGTGGCAATGCAGATCTTGCGATTCAAAGCTATGAATGGCACTGCAGCTGTTATAAATTCAAATTTCAAATTCATTTATTCATATCAGACAACATAGTCCATACTAATACATAGAATTACATCACATTACTAATTATATTACATATTGGTGACGTTAATTATATTTGAATATACATCAATGAAATTTTAAATAATGTCCAAATAAGTTAAATAAGATTAATTTAAGTAATCAATATCAAAAGTTAAATTAAACTGCACTGCAACTGCATGAACAGGCGTCTCACGTCTTGTTAGTCCCGTCACTCGGTATCATAACAAAAAAGTCTGTTATTTATTGTAATTATTTAATTTATTCATATGTTTCAGCAACTGGTATCTTTATATCATCAACCGTAATATAGCCCGATTGAACATACTTCAGAATGCCAATCGTCAATTTATGCAAATTATTGGTCGTCGCGAACTCAAGAAGAGACAAAACATTATCAGGTGTCACCTCATTTAACAATTTAATACAGCACTTGGTCACCAAGTCCGTCATATCGAAGTGAATTGCAAGTTCAGCTAGTTGTCTTATACCATCTTGAGGCAATATTTGTAAGTACATATATGACTTTAGATGTTCCAAAGTTTCTTTCGATGCTTTAGTCTCCTTCTTATTTAATAATTTATCTAGAAAAGAAAGATTTTGATTGAATTCTGGACTAAAGCTCGCCAAAACTGTCTTGTGAACTTCAACGCATCCACTTTCACCAACAATTTTAAAGTCGGTTAATTCAGTATCATCGTAAAGATGTTTAAATGGAGTGATTGAAGTCATCAGGGAATCCACTTCAAATGTAAAATCAAAATCAATTCTCTCGCAATTTAGTGCTTCGCCGATTTTACGCCAAGCTATATCATCGGTTAGAAAAATACTATCTTTAATTTTAAATTTCTCGCTCGACACTTTGAGAGTGTAAATCTGTTGATCATTTTGTACAGCTTTTTTGAATTTTATAAAGTATATGCACGTATAAGCTGAAGGTTCTGTTTTAGTCGTCTCACTTTCTATCTTAACTTGCAGCACAGTCGCTCCATCTAGCCTATACTCGGGACTCATTTTAATGGGAGTATCAATTTGGGTGTTACATATTAATTTAAAAATATTTTTGTCTTGGTGTACAACTGGTTGCATTCTGTAAATAAAAAAAAATATTGGAGTCAATTAATGTACAATTAATTTAAAGTTCTTATCATAGAAAAAGAGCGTGACGAGTATGTATGTATGTGTAGAACTCTAGGGGAATCACCATCATAAAATTCATCGCTGCCATTATCTACGTGATAATTTTTAATAAAGTATTTTTAAACGCTGATCGAAATGTTTATTAAAAAATATTTTACCATAGAAAACGAAACTTTAAAAAAAATGTAAATCATGTTTATATGTTTTTTCAAACAAACCAACGTTTCGGGGTCTCTACAGTTCACTAAATCAGGACCTGAAGTAGTAAATAAAATCAGTTATGTGTAGTTTACATTACCCTAATTTTGACTTTGATTTCGTCGGATTACAACAGGAAAAAAATTACTACACTTGGGTTTTAGACTTACCATCATAGACAATATTATACTTACGTGCAAAAAAACTACTATAGTTAGCAAGAAAATAAAAAAAATGCCAACAATAACACTGGCAACAACACTAAACCAACACTAGCGCAATAAACTGTAAGTAAAGTACTTACTACTTTTTATATAAGTACTAATTGATAACTTATGTTATCTGACAAGGTAAATGATATGAATGATATATATAAAATATTAGGTGTATCCTGCATGCGTTGCAATGTTACTGAAACTGAGTGAAGTTCAATGTGGTTTAGGAACCCACATTGACCCAGAGAAAGAAAAAGAAAGAAATATTATTATTTCATAATACACTTAAAAAATTAACTGTTGCGGATTTTGGCACATCAATGAAATTTGATTGCAATCGGATAAATAATAATGGAATGGATACGGGACAAACGTTAAATTTGATTTAATCAGATTAGATATGCAACGTCGTTTGTGTATCATTTACAAAGAACAGACAATTAGGCTCACTCACATTGACGCAGAGTCGATGCGTCGCGTCGCGTCCTGTTTTTCAATTTTCGTCGTCGCGCGACGGCTCTCGCATTAACGTGTCCGGATCATAATGCTGAACCAGTTCAGAGACTATTGTATAAATTTTAATGTTAATTAATACTTTTTCTATTATACATCTTCCTCTCTTCAGTATTTTACTAATTCCTCGCATTGTTTGAGAAAAATTCTATACATGCCTCGGCGGGAACCGGGATTGCTTGACTCGTATTAATACAAGGCATCGTTGGCACTCGTCCTTATAACTCATACTCGTCCCTTACTTCCGGCATCTGGAATAATGTGCTACTACAGGTCCAGTCAGCCGTGACCATGGGACCTGTAAGGGGTCCAAAACTTTAGTTTGTTTGATAAAATAAATATTTAGACCCGAAATTTTTTTTTATAATATCAAGTTACGGGACAAACAAGTCGTGCGCCTGTTGGTGAGCTACACGCCAAGATCTGAGGGGCACTGCCACTGCGTCTGTTGTTTGGACAGTAAAATTTAAAATTATGAGCTTATAATTATTAATACAAAGATCGAACACTCAGAAAAACACTCAGAAAAAATTCCTTCGATCCGGTCGGATTCGAACCGACGTCTTCTTGCATACCGTGCCAGACGCTATACCAACTAAGCCACGGAACGAACCAACGGACCTCACGAATTTTGCAAGAAGACGTCGGTTCGAATCCGACCGATCCAAGGAATTTTTTCTGAGTGTTTTTCTGAGTGTTCGATCTTTGTATTAATAATTATAACAAACTAGTGAAGTAAGTTCACAAAAAATAATTGAATATCAATTCAATAAAAATTTAATTATGAGCTTATTTTTTTACGCAAATGTCAATTGCGCAAATAAAACATGACTGTTTAACTATTTAAAGCAAAACAATTAAATAAAAAAGGATATTAGCCAAAATTCGATCAGTATATTACGTATGTATGACGGTGCTTTTCGAATAAGATTTAAACTAACGATTGTAATCTCAAAGTGGAAATAATTTCAATACTCATCAGTTCTTGTACCCAATTCCCATATCTGGTCAAATCGATGTCGATGTATAGACCCAATAAAGTTATAAAGTGTGTTCTTAAAAAGCGGCTTTTTAGCGGCGGAGGTAGTCCGGACGATTAGTGGTGGCTGTGTCGCTTCTCTCATTACTCGCGCCCTAATTGCGCCGCAGCGCTCTCAAACGCGCCGACGGCTTTCATCTCACCGCCGCACGCTGTAATACAGTCACAGGTGCTAGCGGAAGCGGATGGAATCCGTTCTCTAATTACCGCGCGGGACACGTGAGTTGCCCTTTAAGTCGGAAGCTATGTTCGGACATGGCCGCAGGACACTGCGACTGAGCGATGAGCTAGATCTGATTTCTCCAGTCGCGTAGGCTATTGAGAACTGGAGAGACGCCATTTTTCGATGAAGTCCGTGCAAACGGGTTGATCTGGGGTCAGGACCTGTTTACGTCCCTGGGACCAAGAGAGACATAGGGAGGGTCAACAAAACTTATGTAGAAAAGATAATGGGAGCTGTTCTCTAATTTGAGTTAGTTTGTTGAGTGTGTGCGTTATTGAGTGTGTGCGTTATTGAGTGTGTGCGTTAATTACCTGCAACCATTACACTTGACACTTTGCTTAAAATTTTAATTTGTATGGTTCCACTACAATAACGATTCTGCAAAAGCTGCGGTTGTGAAAACAACTGAATGATAAAGAACCTTCAATGTATTTTCCAGGCATGATATAAAAGTTGGTTAGCCAGTGGTTGTGAATCGATTTGTGGACATGAGATGTGAAAATAATTATGACTCAGTACGTTAGTAACGCCCACAAGGTCATACAATCATCAAACATGCTGTAGACCAGGGCTATATTTCAACTATATTACAAACAATCTAAATTTCCCATTAAAAAAAGGAATTTCGACTATGGCCCCCGGGAATCCAGTAATTCCACCGCAAAAAGCACTAAGCATTGACTGAGTTTGGCGTATTGGAGCCTTACCGATTCTCGGCTGCTCTGGCGACGTATACCACACCATCCAATATAATTAAGCAAGTTTTTACAATGTCTAAAGTTGTGTAGTTTAAATATTTACATAACATATTTTTTTATAAGCCTGCTGTGTCCGTCTCACAGCACGACAAAGGCCTCCTATTTTCCCATTACTCTCGGTCTTGGGCAACGTCTGGCCAGTCCTTTAAAAAAGAGTCTAAGTCATTCCGCCATCGTCGACGTGGTCTACCGAGTCTCCTTTTTGAGTTGTTATTTTGGCCCACAACTCGCTGGGCATGCAGCAGACTTGACTAGCGAAGAACTACTAGGGACTTGACGGTCCCATTTCCACCTGACCGCTTTCCAACCTTTATCGACAATTGGTTTTTGTGAGCGCAGCGTGGTGTTCCTGACACGATACATTAATTTTACACCTAATGCGCTCCATGGCTATCGAGTGCAACATTATATATTATATTAATATATTTTAACGTAAGCCGCACCCGAATTATTATACACGGTATACTGCATTGACTTACAATTATATGGACGCCGGGTCCGCGCTAAAAAGTGTCCGAAATTATAGGGCGTTAAAATCGTATACAGAGCGTCATTCACGCTTTAGTCTTCGTTTGTTCGACTGACAGCGAAGCAAGCAAAATTAGACAGTACTGCGATGACACTACAATTTAAATTCAACGTTTTTTTTTTTAATATTCCTTTACATGTCACTACGTTTAAATAGGTTGACTTGGGACATTTTTTTCGTGGTTTTTATATTAGACCCGTAGTCCATTTATTTGTAAGTCAATGGTATACTGGTAACGTTTCCACTACAAATAGATAATTCAAAAGCGTATTCAACAAAATCGCTTCCGCTCATGACCATACTCTCAATCCATTGAGTATTTAGCTCTGTAACAATTATGCTGATGAGATTTTTTTACCACTGCTCTTTGCCAATGTTTATTGAAATGTAATCCTTCACATTACGCAGAATACGATCGTGTTACTTTACGTAGGTATTATTATTATCTTAAGAATTTGTGCTAAAGTTTTATGATATTTGCGGTGGAAATTCGGGGCCATGGTTCTCAGCGACCAGTGCCTCTGCCATGAGATTAGTGTGACACTTATCGCTAACGACCGCGTAAAATGTTTGTATACAAAATGTTGTGTCTTCTTGTGGCCGTGTAGCGCTGTATAATTTGCCATACAAAATTGTGAAGTAATTTACGCGGTCGCTAGCGACAACTGTCACAGTAAACTCGTGGTAGAAGCACAGTAGGCAGGCATATAGTTCCGCCTGGGTGGCCATACACGGACTGCTCGAGCAGTTAACCAGTGATCAACTCTTGCAGTCATAGTGAACAACTTGTGGATGCCATTGATAACTGCTGGAGTAGTTAATACCAATTGCAGCAGTTGTTAGCAACTGCTCAAGAAGTCACTATTTCAATTTCATTCAAATCAGTAGCAACATGGATTTTGCATGAGGAAGAAGCACTACTGCCGCTACTTTTGCTCAGACGACGACGGCGGCAGCGCACAGTGGGTCGGATCAGCGATATTGCGGACATTGGATTTTTTTCACGATACCTCTCTAAAAAAATGCCAATCGAGAGATCCTATTGTCCTAATTCAATATTGCACATTTTGTGACGCGTATAAGTAGAGAATAGGGAGGTTTGGGGGCGCGTTTTGTGTGCAAGTCTATAGAAGATAGGTCTAACAATACGTCTGTAGTGATTCCAAGACTGGATCGACTAAGACTTTGTAACGATGGGGCACTAAAGGTATGGTCCCATACAAAAATACACATTTAATTTTTTCCTACTAAACTATTACATTTATGGCAAAATGCGATATGACAATATTTAATTAGAACAATATGATCTCTCGATTGGCATTTTTTTAGAGAAGTATCGTGAAAAAGTCCAATGTCCGCAATATCTATGAAATATAATATGAAAATGAGCGTGTGACGTGGAATGACGCGCGGAGCGGGGCGGAGGTAACTAAGATCAGTCGACAGCTCGAGCAGTCACTATATACCTGGCGACTGCTTGACCGCACGATGAAATTTCACCGCGCTGCACACCGCCCGAAGCTTGAGCGGTTCCGTGTATGTGTGTACACAGAAGACTGTAGTTTGCTATACAGTCGCAG